AGTCTTCTTAACAGTTTTTAAAGCCGAAATTGAAAAGAATTCGAAAACATTATTAGACTTTTTAAATGAGATCCTTTGCTGCATGCTTCAAGGTTTCGCATATTTCTGGCGCTTTATACCGTATCGGCTTGATCAAAATTGCTCGATACAGTCAATCACGCCTCTCTACTACAAAAAATTTACAAGAACGGCTGCCGAGATTTTTTGCTTGAGTAGTTTAGTTCATTTTGCCTGATCGAAAAAAATTCTGCGGAATTTTCGGCAATCAGAATCCAGTTATAAATATTCATAGTGCGCGGTTCAGTATTAGGTCCTGTTTTTTTTACTATTGCATTTTTTATTATAACTATTTAACAGACACAGTTAAAAATATTAAATTCACTCTAACTGGAGGTGATACAAACTCAAGCAAAATACCGGAAAATGAATACTTGAATAGGATCTAGTTAGAACAAGACTGCTCGTATCAGGGCGAAGCCCTGAATGTTCCGACTGCCTTTTAAGGTTTATGGAGCAGGAATAACATTAAAAAAATAATTGTAATAAAACAAGATGAAAACCTGAGTTTTATAATGAAAATCATCCCCCCACACGCCATATAAAGTATAAAAGAATAGTTTTCGCTCCTTGTAATAAATTATTTATGGCAAATAAGCTTCTTTGGACCAATTTGGAACAATTTCTAAAAAGGAATAATTCTCCGCTCACGTGTTAATAGAGCGAAACATATCGCGCGTTAACTGTCCCAAATTGGCCAAAATGGCAATCTTTAAACCCCCATAACTTAAAAAAAAATGATCACAGCTAAAATATCTTTTCAAATTTGAGCTCAGGACAACAATACCTTTCGAATGATATAAAAAATTCTATCAAAAAAGGCTAGTTAAAAAGTCGAAAATTGTCTGAAGAAAAAAAAACCACCCCGAGCACAAATATTCCGTTACTTTCGTATCGAAGGTCGGAACAATAAGAAAAACAATGAATTCAACAAAACGAATTTATGATAACAAACGATATGTAATAACAAAACGAAAATCAGACTTCCTTAATATTTGTCTAGCATAAAACCAAAACATTTAGCCCCACAAGCGATGTTTAATATTAATTCGGGAATCTGTTAAAAACCTGTACTTTTCGGAACTGTAAAAGGCCTTAAGAAAGAAGCCACATTAGTTTATTTGAAAATTTTAGTCCACAAAAAAAGTTTTAAGTCAAAAATTAATTTAAAAAACCTTCAAAAAGGTTGTTATGCCACTATACTAAAAAAACGACCCTGATTTTGGAACAGCAAACAAAACTAAATTGTACAAAATGTAAAGACAATTTGAACTGTTTACTCAGTTTTCGAGTTACCTGTTTACATGATACTCAAATCACTAGCAAAACCTTTAGGACCGAGCACAAAAGCAACCGAGCACAAAAGCTACAGCTTTCAGCGTTCCTTCAAGTTTGATGCTCGGCAATTGATGAACTATACTGAAAACTAATTGATGAGAACAACTTGTTATGATTTTGATTTCTGTCGACTGTTTTTTATTGATCCTAGCAGCAAAAAGTATGCCAGGCAGTTTGTTGTTCTCTAGTTTTTTGATGGCTTCAATGTTGTCGACGCTGATGAGGGCTTTTTTTTTGATAAAATTTCTTTGACGAAATTTTTTGATAAAATTTTTTTGATAAAAACAGCAAAACATTTTTTTGATAAAATTGGTGCAAACAATGCTGACGATTTCAGTATACAAGCTATTCCGGTTTTTTATACCATTAAGGAGCTTTGAAAATAGCTATATTTGTTAATTTGGTAATGTGCTGTTTTTATTAACGCGTAGTGTCTATATGCAAACGAAATGCGGTTGTTAAATCATTCCAGATTGAATTCAAACCAATAATTGGATCCAAATATGGATTTTTTGCCAAACTATTGTTTTGAAAAACGAAAAAATATTTATATAAAACAGCGTATATTTCTGTTCGAAAGGCTATCAAAAGCTAAATGAGCCACGAGAAGTAGCAATCAGAAATTTCAAGGCTCCGCCCTGACGCGAGAAGTCTTGTTTTCAGTTTTGTAGACCAATAAAAAAAAAGTTTTAGATATCAGCTGTGGCAAAGCTGAATAGCTATGCTATAGCCTCGTGACAGTATTGTTTTTGCATGGGGATAAATATAAAAAAGTGGTGAATGCGTTTCAGATTTATAAAATAAAGTGAAAAGTGGTAAGATGGCAAGAAAATGGCTATAGACGTAATTCCTTCTGATTAGAATGTACTAGAACAAAGTACCATGCTTAACTCTCAGTTTCAGCTAAGGAAAACTTGAAGATACGTAAGTATATTATGTTTACCACTCGGTATGTTCTTTTTTATAACGATTTATGATATTTGAAGGGGTTGATTTGTTTTTACATTTTTCTTGGTAACGTTTTTGCTTGACGAGATAACTTAGCAACTATTTAAGGGTTTTTTTATAAATTTTAATCACGTTTTGCAACTTACATTCTGTAAAATTTTGCATTTTAAACTAGTTCTTGTGGCTGGTTGTACATCAATTTTATAAAAAAAAAGTGAAACCTATTCTTTGTTCAGTGATGTGCATGGCCAGGAGAAGTTTATATAAATGGATAGATATCTAAAAAATTCATTTTTTTTTCTTCATTTGAGCAAAGGGTTGATAAGTTGATAGGATGGTTTAAAAAACATTTTCAATTTTTTTTCTTCAATTGAACCCCACGCGATATATTAAGTACAAAAGGATGCTTTTAGCGCTTTAAATTTTAATAATGAGAATAGCCTCAATTCCATTCGGAACAATTAAATCCCCCGTTTGCGCGTGTCATAAGAACGCATTATGTCGAGCCTTATTTGTACCAAATTAGCGAAATTTGCGATTTGCTAAGTATCCATCTGTTTATGAAAATAGATCACAGGTGAAACAGACTATGCTTTTTGGGCTTCGGGATAAAATATCTATCAGATGATATAAAACAGTTCAAAAAGATTTTTGTATGAAAGTCGAAAATTGACAGAGTAAATAACCACCCAAGGCAAAAGCATTGGGTCATTTTCTTCAAAAAACTAGAAAAAAACTAGATCTGTTTGGAAGAACTAGAAAAAAAAGAAAAGAAAAATCCATAAATAATTTGAAGGTTTTAAAGTCATCTGATATCTTATCTCTGAAAATTTCAATCGCGATCCAAAACGGGTATGTCGCTAATCTTGTGAGACAAAATTGGGTTGTGACGCGACCCAAAAAAACACACCGCGGTTTTGCGCGACTCAAAAAAGATGTTGCAACTTTGTGCTACAAAAAAATTGTAATCAACTTTGCGCTATCAAAGAAAACAGCGCAACTTGAGCCTCTCCCGTAAGTTAAATTTGCCGACTTTGCGCGACTTTAAGCTTTCTGCACAACTTTGCGCGACAAAATAGATTTAAGGCGGCTCTGCGCGACCCAATTAATTATATTGAAATTTTTGGCGACCAATCGAGTTTTTTGTGCGCCTGGAAATTTATTTGTTCCGAATTTCTGCTCGACTTTGAGCGATGTGGAAACTTCTGCGCGACCATGACGTTTACCTTTAAGCAAGTTTAAGCAAATTATATCGCTTTTGTGCCAAATTTATGTGACGGCAAATAAGGTTAAAATTATAAATAAGCTTAACACCGTGCAACTTCACTGCTGCCCTTTAGTACCCAGTCTGTGAGCTAACAAATGTTTTACTAAATACAATTTTGAAACAATTTTCACACCAAGTTTGGTCCTAAAAAAATCAATTTGCTCTATAACCCTTAGCGTACAGCCTTACAAACCAACCGGCCTCACTCGATTTATGACTCACTCGGTTTTGCGCGACTCAAAAAAGATGTTGCAACTTTGTGCTACAAAAAAATTGTAATCAACTTTGCGCTATCAAAGAAAACAGCGCAACTTGAGCCTCTCCCGTAAGTTAAATTTGCCGACTTTGCGCGACTTTAAGCTTTCTGCACAACTTTGCGCGACAAAATAGATTTAAGGCGGCTCTGCGCGACCCAATTAATTATATTGAAATTTTTGGCGACCAATCGAGTTTTTTGTGCGCCTGGAAATTTATTTGTTCCGAATTTCTGCTCGACTTTGAGCGATGTGGAAACTTCTGCGCGACCATGACGTTTACCTTTAAGCAAGTTTAAGCAAATTATATCGCTTTTGTGCCAAATTTATGTGACGGCAAATAAGGTTAAAATTATAAATAAGCTTAACACCGTGCAACTTCACTGCTGCCCTTTAGTACCCAGTCTGTGAGCTAACAAATGTTTTACTAAATACAATTTTGAAACAATTTTCACACCAAGTTTGGTCCTAAAAAAATCAATTTGCTCTATAACCTTTAGCGTACAGCCTTACAAACCAACCGGCCTCACTCGATTTATGACTCACTCGATTTATAAATCGTTATGAAACAATTAAACAACTGCCATTCGCGCCGAAAAAGGCAGAGTTTTCTAAAATAAACAACAGTGTAGATCTTGCTTCTAATAAGTAATGCATGATTGAACTGAAACTGAGATAAATTGCTAAGGAGTTTAATGATTAAATGCAATTATAGCAGTTTTTTGGAGCGTATTGGCCAACGTTTTTTTTGCCGTACACGGGGGCATTTTGGCTGGTCATGGGCTCGAATTCATGTGGCGTGGGGGGTTGTATGTTCGTGACTTTGTTTATGACTGCGCTCAGACTATTTTTGAGTCAAAAGCCCGCTGTTGTCTATAAAATTTGCTATAGCTAAGTGTTAGTTTTTGAGACAGTCTGAAAACAAAACTGACTTGGGTCGGTCGTCTACATGATTTCTGATTAACAAGGATGGCAATAATTTAGAAAGTTGCCAAAAGTTCGGACAGACTGAAATGATTAAAAAGAGTAATCTGCCATTTTTGAGCAATTTAGTTTTTAGAAGACCTGGAGACATAATTTGTGTCTGAAAAAATAGTTTTTGCATGCTAAAATGTCTGAAAAAAGTCATTTGCTCTTTTAAATTAATTCTGTCTGTCCCAACTTTTTGCTCTTAATTATTCAGTGATTCTTGTCTACTCCGAATTGACTGGCTGTTGCTTATTTCCGAGTTCCTTGAACAGAGGCTGCAAAAAAGTTGTCTGTAATAATAGCGAAGTCCTTTCCTGTTCTTCAGTTTGGTTCGTATGTAAGGATGGCGAAAAGAATACAGAAATGGGTTCAATAAAAACACTGCCCCGTACAATGCTTGAAAGGAGATGAAAATCATCATCTGCACTTGTTCGACGTCGTATGTGTAGCTGTCTTCACACATCAAGATATTAAGTCGCATCGTTGAAGTCGCCATAAACATGGAACTCGGCAAGGCGACAAAAATGAAGAAAACTCCGACATAAAAGAAAGTCAGAGTAATTTTTCTCTGCTGCTCGAATCTTTTCTTCTCGGCTGCTTCTTTCAGGCTTGCATGGGAATCGTCTGAATTGAGTGCACATTTTGACGTGTCGTCCACGCTTACAGTTTCGATCATTTGACCTTCGGAGAACCGAGTTGAATTCGTGTTGTCAATTTGAGAATCGCCACTTTTTTCTAATTCGATTTGCTCTTTCTTTTGACAAAGAGGAATTCTTCCAGTGTACCGGTTTGAGAGGGTTTTTTAATAAACAATTTTTTGCGTTTTTAATAACTTTTTTGAACCAAGTGGTCGAAGCCATCGAAACAGTTTATTTGTGATTTTTCCTTACAAGCCCGAAACAAAGCTTCAAATTCTAAAACGATCTACATAAAGGCGTTAACAAAACTGCTATATGATTTTTGGTGCATTTTTATTCAAAATGTGACACTCTTTTTGTCATCTGAAACGATTAATACCATCCATTCCCAAATCCAAAGCACGCAAAAATTTAAACAATTTTTATACACAAAATTCGATGTTGTATTCCAAACTTTCAAATATATGCGCGACATTTGTCTGTTATCCCGAACAATTGTGCTTATTGAAATAGAAGATGTTGGCAACTTGTTTGCTTTTATTGTCTATCTTGAAGCCTTGAGTTCAAATTTTGAATGAAAAAGTTTTAGGCAGTCAATTTATTTTGAATTTCTCAGATGCTTGCAAGCTTCCAAACTTTTTTCATTGAATCGAAAACTTCAAAAATTCAAAAAATTTCCCTAAAAGAAACTTGAAAAAATTTTGGAAAAAAATTCTTAAAACTTTTTTTACTTTTTCTTGGTCCTTTTTCTTTAAAGTGTTGTGCAATTATTGCCCTATTGTACTATAACTATCGACATTTTCTGAAAAAAGGAGACTGCTGAGCTTCAATTCTGCTCAAAACTGTTCTAACTTGAGACCTGCTCACTGTTGCTAACGACCTTGAAAGTTGTATCAACTAACAATTTAAATCAGTTGCTTTTTTAGAAGATTCTCAAATGATAAAATCAATTAAACTACCTTCCTTCAATCAATTTTAAAGGTAATTCCAACTATTCTCGAAGCTAGTGAATTTTTAATTTCAGATTTGAAGTTGCGTTATTCTTTTTGATCCGACTTTCGAAAAAATTCCAAAAAATTTATGCTTAGGGTTGTTTTTTTTATTACGTCTCAAATGGCATAACTCCCAAATGGAATAAAAATGAAAATTTTTTCAAATGGCATACATTTTTTGCATCAGTTGCATTCAAAAAGTAGAAAATAACTTTTTCGTGAACAATGTGAGAAAATTAGTCAATTCGAAAGTTGATTGACTTTCTATCTTGAACAAATCGTAGAATTTTTAATCAAAAGTAAGAAATTGTTTTACATCATGAAAGATATTGACTACCCGGGTTCAAAGACAACAAATTGTTTTTCTTTTTTTTTGAAGTTTTATGTATTAAGATTTTATTTAGGTTATAATTTGCGAATATGTCGCACAAAACTGCCCAAAAATGAATTGAGGCAAATTAATCCGCAGTTTAATTTTTGTACCCCTCAAATTTTCACAAAACTTGGTGTTTGAGAATGTCAAAAACGTGAAAAAATGTTATGAAATGATCAACTAAGGCTTCGATGGCGTTTCCCTCCCCTAAATCCGCTACTACCGAGAATATTAAAAATGAATTCTTGCTGAAATCCTCAATTTTCAGTTTAAAATTTTCCGATGTGCAGGTGAGATAAATGGTTTTTCCACAAATTTGCTTTTCCGACCATCTGGCTAAAAAAAAACATTTCCTTTTCAATTTCATAAAATAACTCTGTCCTATTAAATTCATCCGTTTTTACAGTTTTTAAAATTTTACCCTTAAGATCTAGTTTGTTTTTCTTAAAAACCATTTTTTTCCTCAAAAAATTGAAAATTTGTTCAAATTCAATTTCAACCGAATTATAACTTGCATCATATGAATTTTTTTTTTTGATTTTACAAAGCAAACGTTATTCGAAAAATAAAATCTACACGAAAGCTATTTTTTTCTGCTATTTTTTCTACAGGTCTATTTTTTCTGAAAAAAAAACTGCTCGTATACCGGCGACGCTTTTAATGTTCCAACTTCCCCTTAACGTCTACTAATAATTTCCAATTTTCTAGAAAACGATGAAATTTTCCAAAAAAAAACATTGAAAAATTTAACGAGCAAAAAATTGATTATTTTTTGAAAATCATTTGAAGTACAAAAGCGATATAGTAAACACATAGTACTAATATAACTTATTAATTAGAATGAATAGCATGCCCCAATTCAATTTGAATTGGTTTCCAAGACGGATTAAATCGCCGCTTACGCATTAACTGCTCGAAAATTGTCTCAAGTTGCCTATCTTTAAACCCCCATAATTTTACAAAAAACTATCACAGGTGAAATATCTTTTTAAATTTAAGCACAGGAAAATATGTTTTTTTGATAATTTAAGCAACTTGAAATTGGTCTGGGAAAAACCAGCCGAAACATTTTTTATTCAAAAAATAGTCGGAACAGTTGTTATTCATATAAAAGAAGCATGGCCGATTTTGTCTCATTTTTACGACAAGTTTCCAATGATTTTAAACATCATTTAACTCGCCTGAACAAAAAGTTAAAAATTGTTTAGGAAATCTGCATCAGTTCTATCTGTTGTCTTTTCTTTTTCAAAAATTAAGTGAGTTTGAACTTCATTCAAACCCAGTCGAAACATTATTTCATAGAGCTTAAAAGGCAGCCGGAACATTCAGATCCTTGATATGAGCAGTCTCGTATATTTTATAATTTGGTCAGGAACAAAAATGAGGATATAAAAAACACACCTCGAAAATGGCCTGAGCAAAGGAGCCCACAAACTCTGTTTGAACACATTCGAAACCCGGACATAGACGACGACCATTAAAATAGACAGCAGCACCACCAGTATCATCTTGATCTGCGACCAAACGTTATAACTTATCAAACGAAAGTCATATTTGAAGTCGCAACATTCGTAACAAAGATATCCAAAGTCGTTGAAAACTATACCAGAAGCTGAAGGTTCTAGATAATCTACTTCGAAAATAATGAAGAAAATATAAGGCGTCAACATGATAGTGAATTGGAATGTTACCAGTAGAAGTATCATGATCATAAAGTTACGCATATTGCTTCTACGGAATACCGATTTATACCGATGAGGACTCAAAATTGCAAAGTAGCGGTTCATCGTCATCAAAAAGAGCATGAGCAATGAAAAAAGAGTTAAGAACTCATCAAAGCAAAGGAGAAGTCCGTTGAACAAGTGTACTCCAACATTCCTGGATTTTGATAACATTTAGTTTTTGATAAGCAAATTCCTTACGATATGCTGTTGCACAAACTTGAAAACCTTTTTGACAGGCTAAAAGAAAAAAATAAGAACAGAACGCTGCTGTCATAATGGCTTACAAATTTTCAATCAAAACTGTCATTGCAAACTATTTAAATTAACATAATACAAAAAAGGTTTGTCTGTTTTTTTAAAAATTTTCCATAAACTTGTTAGTGTAATTTAGGAGAAGTAGAGAGGGTTTAGCTTGCTTGGGGCTGTTAAAAAAATTGTCTGCTGCGCACGTTCACATTTTGATTCGATGCTGTCAAATGCCGTTTTCGTTTTTTGGCTGTCCATCACCGAACTTGGAAATTCGGTGGTGGTTAGGCAAAAACGGAAAACAGTGTTTGCCAATTTGGCCGAATTAAAAAATTGACATTAGCAAAAAGCGACTATTTCACTGCTCCAACCAGAATATAACCTCTCCATTCCTTCCAAAAAACCCAATTTATTATGATTAGTATTATCAATAGAAAAAAAAACTGACATTTTTTTGGAATTTTTTCAGGCTATATATTGCGATCGATTTTTTTTTTGAAAAATTTTTCTTTAGCATTGTTTTGTTATAAAAACTTTGTTACAGCTATTTTGAAACAAAAAAAATTAGGACCAAGATTGTAACCTAACATGGTTTCTATGAAGTTTTTTAAAATTTTAATCTCCTAATTTTTGGCGATGGTTTTAGAAAAAAATCATTATACCTAAGAATCAAGATGCAGTCTATAAGATAAAGTGAGGCTCTTTTCTGATATATTTTGCTCATCAAATGTTTTTGTAGATTCAGCGTAACTTTAAATTTACTAAAACAAGACAAAAAGACCCATTTCGGGGGTAAAGTTTGCCCCCAAAATTGGAAAAATGAATTGCACCATAACAGTTCTGGCAAAAATCTAAACAACTTGGATTCTCTTTTTTTTCCAGCTTCAACTCAACTTGAGAAAAACGGGTTTGAAAAAAATCATGTTTCGTTCATTTTGTCCAGATAATGTAAAGCAGCACTGTAGATTCAAACGAAAATAGAAAAAATCAAAATAGGTGTTTTGTTTGCAACCAGAAAATTTTATGTGATAATCTAAACGCAGATATAACAAAAAATGGCATGTTTTTAAGCATTCAAGTTTTCATATTGAAGAAAAATTTTAAGCCAAACATAAAAGTTTTGTTTTTTAATATAATTATGTCTGGATGAAGATCTAGATATTAACATAGACTTAGACAGCAAAAAGTCAAAATGTAGTATTTTATCTTGGCGGGTCTTGGAACTTGATCTATGGTTTCCGTATTAGAAAAATCTTTTGCTATTGTGCTCTCAGACAAAAATCTAAAGCTTCAAGTCATTAAAAAATATATAGTTTATTTTTTCTAATCATGCAACTCCCTTTACGAAAAAACGATAGTGATACTTATTCCATAGATGTGGACTATAAAGATTTGACTATAAAGCTTACGAAATTATAAAATTATCTTTTTTCTTTTAATGGAAACTGTATGGCTGGCATTTTTTAGTCAACCCGGATTCATATTTTTGATGTTTTGTGATCAAAACCTTTGAACACTTTTGGTTGACTTCTTCGCCTGTTTTTTGTTTCAAAATTGCTCACGGTTTAAAGGTTTATAGTCATCATAACTTTTTAATTTGGTCGTCCGAAAAGGGTGCAAACTGTCAAAGTTTTCTAAAACCAAACCCCTTGAGAAAATCCTCGATCTGTTTTTTTAACTGATAATTTTTTTGCTTTGTAAGTAGTTTTTTTTTAATTTTTCGTTGGCCAGGTTTTGTAATCGCAATCGTCAACCAGTTTTAAATCGCTGCATAAAACACTTAGATTTCCTAAACCTTTTGAGCGAAAAAAAAGCTCTGTCGTTTTTCTTCTGTTAGCTCAATGACTTTAGTACATTTGTTTTACAGGAGATCTTAAAAGCGTTTTCGAATAATTATTCACATGCATAAATGTCTGCTCAGATCAATTTTGAGATATACAAAAAACTCAAAAAAAAATACGTGGACGAGAAAGCATTTTTGCTGTACTTTGAACAAAAGGGACAAGGCCTTTCAAATACAGTTATCAAATCCAATTGAAAACGATCACAATTTCTATGTAAGGTTAAAGAATGAGAACAAAATACAATTTCGAGACGCTAAAAAAGAACGCAATGCAAAAACACTGTGGAAAATAAGAATTTTAAGAACAAGTTATCATTCTCTAAAACACTTACAAAAACCCAAAACAAATACTGATTCACCTCCCTTGCCTTTTAGGTAAAGTGTTTTTGCATGTAATGGCAGGCAGTTTTCTGAACAATTACCTCACTTGAATGTACTTGAAACAAAACAAAACAAACTGAGATCAATGGTTATTTCAATCACTGATGTAAAAGGAGTCTCAAAAATCATTAAACAAATGAAAATTAAGAATTTTTGTTGCCATGATGTTCTGAGTAATAAAATTTTAAGACTGTGTTCACCAGACATTGATGAATACCTAGCCTTTGCTATAAATAAAAAGAATGTATCTTCCCCAATTGTCTGAAAATTGCAGAATTTTGTGCCCGAGTTAAAAAAAAAAGGAAAGATAAAAGAGCCTGAACCTTGTAAACTTTTAAGTCTTATAATATCGTTGAGGAGTGCTTTCGAGAAAGCCTCCGTTTAATGAATTTTAACGGTTTTTTGCAAGTTGCAGCTATTTTTAAAGCAACAATTGGGTTTCCGTACAAAATGGGGGAGGTCAGGCAATCTTCAATGAACTTAAAAAACTGTTCGATACTCTAGATCATCAGATATTAATAAAAGTTAGAATGCTATGTTTACAGAGGACCAATATTTGAAATAATGAAAAACTACTTAAGTAATCGGTGTCAAGACGTTACAGAAAAAAATCTTTCCTCAAAAAGTCTGCCAGTTTTAACTGGAGTACCACAGGGATCAATCTTGTAACTTCTTTTGTTTTTCAAACATATAATAGATTTTTCAAAACAATGACAGACTAGCAAAGAAACACATTTTGTGCGGCTAATAGAAATATTTTCGTTTTTAGAAAAAATTTTTTTGAGAGAATCCAAATCAATGATTAATTTATTGCAAATAAATTATTAATTAATTCATCTAAGCGTAAAATTGATGTAATTTGGAAAATTAAAGCCATCGGAAATATCTATTTGCGATAAATTATTACATATAAATAGATGTTCACGTTGATAGCAATTTACTATTTGATGATCATTTAATTTATGTGGTTTTAAAATTAAAGAGTTTCTGTGATGTTATTTACAAATTAAGAGATAATTAGCTAGTGAAGTTTCTTCTCGTATTCTACAAATATCATGCAAAAAGCATTACAGCATTTGGCACCTTGATCTATGGTTCTACCTGCTTCGCTCGACTAGAAAACATTGAACAAAGACAGCGGAGAAAAATAAGAACAAATTTTTCCTTGCAAATACATGATTCGATAAGCGAGAACTTGAAAAATTCAAATTTGAACACAGTTCTCAAACTTTTTGTCGTTGAGGTTCAATAAGAATTTTCTAAATGTCTTTATAATTCTTCCCCTTTGTGCTTGAATGATAGAGCAGGAACCAACTCACAGTAATCCCGTAAGCTTAACCAAAACACAGTCAGAAAAAAGGTCACTAGCGACTCTTCTTAAAAAACCTATTATTGGGCAAAACTTTTGGGTCTCATTCCAGCAGAGATAAATATGTTCACTCTGCTAATCAGCATGTCAAGATGATTGAAAAAACTATATATCAGAGAAATAGATGACATTTTCTTCTTTTAAGTGTTTCCTTAAACTATGATTTCATTCATGCCACTTAATTGTCTACAAGGCCTCCAATTAGGAGAGCTTGTTATTTCATTTTGAGTGCTTGTCAAACAAGACAAAATTATATACTTAATAGTATGTATTTTTTGACTGTTTTCTTATTATGACTAATCTATTTTAATCGACGTTTATAAACAGGTGCAACTACAGTACCGTTAAACTTGCCAAGGCTTGGCCCTTCTCCATTAAACAAAAACCTCCTCTATAACTGGATCATTAATGCGAAATAACGACAATGGAGATCGAATTGCTTGAATTTGAATTGCCCTTTTCAATATAAAGCTTTTGTTAAACAATATCGATTCGGATTGGTGGTAATTTTTTAATCATTATTTAATGGTTAATTGTCGAAAAAACCTCAAAGCATTTTTTCAAAGTCATACCATGGCAATTTTGTAAGTTAATTTTTTGAAGTTACTTTTTCTAGGTTTTTTAGGTAAGTCGAGGATCATAATAAATGTTACCAAGAAGGGAAGTCAGGAAAGAGCCCAAATTTAGCCATCACGTACTGAATAAGAACGAAAGCGAATGACAACACCATTTGAGCCCCATATAGTCCATCTGAAAACAAGTTGCACAAAATCACGAAGTCCGTTGCAGATTTCTTGGTGCTCCTCTTAAGAATATGATATACGAGGAAGTTTCGGTAACAAACTGCAACTCCACAAATAAGTCGCCAGGCGAAAATCACCATTAAAACTTTTTGTATACTCTCCCAGAGCATCGTGTTGTGTTGATTCTTATTACTTACAAGAATACCAAATGTCAAATGGTTCTAATAAAATTCAAGAAAATGATGCACACAATGTAAATTCCACCGGAATGCTATTTCATATAATTAAGTTTGCTGTTAAAATAATGATTTGTACTACCGAACATCTAGTCTACAATTGGATCAACTCAAATCTCGCTGTTGATAGAGAAGGTATAAAGCTTGAACAAACCACATAATATGGCGCATTTGATCTATGTTGCAATGACATCATGGTTACTCTGATGCATAACTCGGGTTGTTTTCAGTGCAAATCAGTGATGACTCAATAATATTTCAGCGAAGCACTCCAAGGATCTACTTAACAATACCCCCCCCCCCTTTCTTGAAAGGGGTGGAGGTTGTTAAGTAGATCCCGCTCCAAAACTGCATTAGAGTCTGTACATTGCCATTTTCACTCTGGATCAGAGCTAAAAAGCAGAGGCAAAATTGCAGTACTAAAAATTACTGAATAATCGATGGAACAAAGCTTTTTTTTGCAATATCAGATATAATTTTTTTTAAAAAACAAAGAACTGATCAAAAACTGGCTCCTACTCAGATTTGAACCCCTACTTCACTCAGAGAGAACTTTTGATACCTCCACGCTTTATCCGCTTTGTATTGAACATACCATGCAAAATATATTTGACTTCAGACGAGCGTATAATTTATTCTTACGAAATAATTAAAAATAAACAGAAAAATATCTGAAGGATTTACTCTGATAATACTATGCAGAATTTAATTGACTTCAGACGAGCGCATAAATTAAATATCTTACGAAATAATTGAAAATAAACAGAAAAATATCTGAAGTATTTACTCTGATATTACAAAACATAGCGGATAAAAGCCCTAATAATTCAAAACCCCCCGCAAAATAAGAATTTATGAATTTATGAGAAAAGATGGCTCAAATTTGTCTTTATGTGAACTTTTTTTACTATTCTCATTTTCTGAACATTGTTATATTTTTTATATTTATGTTTATATTAACATTGCTATATTAATATTTCTGAACATTAACAAACTAATGCTGGATCGGTATTTAATTCCGGGTAAGTATTGAAACTTCCGGGCAAGTGATAGCTGAATCACTTATGCAGCCATTTTGTTGTTTCGACTTTCTTAACTAGCTATTTTTGACGGTAATTCAATCATTAATTAATCATTTTATTTTATATCATTTGAAAGATATTGTTATCCTGAGCTCAACTTGAAAAAAAAGTTCACCTGTGATCAATTTTCGTAAAGTTATGGGAGTATAAAGGTTGAAAGTTTCGGACAATAAACGAGCGATATGTTTCGTGCTAATAGCGCCTAAGCTGAGATTTAATCCGAAACAAAAAACGTTCCAAATATAATTGAGGTATGCTCTTTGGTCTATTTATTTCTTTGTTATTTGCTTTGTACATTTTCAAATGTCAAATTCAGACCACGAAATTGATTATATTGCCATTTTAATTGTTTATTAAAAAAAGTTCTATTATAATCCATTATATTAGATTATAATCCATTATTTTTGTCACTGAAATTGATTATTTTTACCAACATAATCCATTATAATCGATTATTTTTGAACTAAAAATCCATTATAATTCTTTATAATTGATTATAATCCATTTTAGTTTTAGAACTAATTTCGATTATTTTTGCAAAGTTTTGCAAGTTTTGCGAGAAATTTGCAAAATGTATGCCATGTAAATTTCTAAATACCATGTCTTAACGTCATTCCCTCGCCTCATCAAGCATTTTTTAACTCCCACAACTAAAGGGGTGGGTTATATGGGGGTAAGCTGAGAAGGAACTGGGGGGGTGGGGGGGGGGGGGTGGGGGGCGGGGGTAAGCTGGACTGGGCATCGCACTGATACAAACAAATTTGTTGATGCTTTCTTGCTTAGTTAAGCATCTGAAATTACTTCACCGCCTCAGGCAACTAGCACGGATCATGCGTGGTATCGCTGCAACACAACTACTCGAATTATTGCACGAAATTCCAAAAAAAGCAAAATTTTTTAAACTAAATTTTTCGATAGTTTTTAGAAGAATCTTAAAATTTTCGAAGAATTAAACGCTTAATTTCATTTTTAATAGTTTGCTGAAAGCAAGTTCTTCTCATGTGTGTACACCATTGGCGATTTTAAAGAAAAAATTTTATAACCTCTGCACTTATTTGAAGTATCCGAACAAAACAATTGAAATTTGAAATATAAAACTCATTTTTCATTGGGTCGATTTTAGGCGAAAAATGACGAAGACAAACAATGCTGAAAAGTTTCACCAGTTATCAAATTTATTTTGTCAATTTTTTTTTTTCAAAAAGTTCGGACCCAAACGCTCCGCAACCGGCCCGACTTGAGTTATGCAAAATCAACTGAGATAAGTTAAATCAATGTGATTGTTTTTTTCAAGCGAACAAATTTTGAGAAACAAATGTTTGTTTTCTTACTACCGTATGCAGCCGTATAAGCAAGTTATAATATATGATTGACAAAATTTCTGTTTTATCATTTTAAAAACTAGTCGTTTTATTCTCCAACAAATGGTTTCATATTACTTCTAGGTCAATTATATGCAGTTTTGATTTCGTCATTTCTTCTAAAATTGTCCCATTTTGAGAAAAACGATTCAAATTATGAAGTTTTTTGTTTGTGCGGATAACTTAAAAATATACTGCATCTGACTTCCAAAAACTATGACGCATTTTCTTCGACACATTGATTCTCCTGAAAATTTTTCCGCAATTAGTTTTGAAATCAATTTTAGCAAGGATAGCCGCCGGTTACTGTGCAAAAAACACAAAAAAGTTTAAAAGAAATTTCATTTTTTTTGCAGAACTTTTATTTAAAATCGATTCGATGTACAATATTAATTTCAAAAACATATGTCTTGGAAATGACTATAAAAGTTTTTAAAACAAAAGTTAAAAATTTCTAAATAACTCAAGTAAATCATGCATCCGTATACAAACATCCTGTAAGTAGGTAAGGCTGAATGTCCAGAGGTAATGATAAATGTACCCTTAAGAAATCATTCATTTTAAATAAGTTTTGTTTCAATTGAGTTTTTCGGCGTTTTAACGCCGGCCCTCACGGTGAGTTGATTTGTGTTTTGACATTGGTTTGAGTTTTTTCCGCGATATTCAAAACCATCACTCCGCTCATTTTGCCAACACCCCTCTTTTAGCGCGATGATTGGTTGTTCTTCGAATTGCACTAGGGTGTTGGATGTTTCTGCGGATTCGATCGCCTTGCTCGCTTTCGTCGCCTTGTTCATTTCGGTTGCTCTGGGATTGCTAGCTATTTTCTTCAGTTTGATCATGTTTTCATCACTGCTATTCTCTACGCTGCTTGACTCTCCTACTCGTCGCCTCTATGCTTTTTTGGTCTCCTCAGTAATGCCCCACTTTTTGAGGGATTTCTGTTTTGGTTTTTTCGCTCTTATTGGGAGTCTTTTACTTTTTGAGGGATTTAAGTTTTGGTTTTTTCGCTCTTATTGGGAGTCTTTTACGGTGCACATTTATAATTTATTTTATCCATATATTTTATCGGGACTGCTGTCGAAGGGCTTATTGTGTTCGGATCTTGGTAATTTGCTTACACCTCCTTTTTGACACGATGATAGGCTGTTCTTCGAATTGCATTAAGGTTTCGGATGTTTCCGCGGATTCGATCGCCTTGCTGGCTTTCGCCGCCTTATTCGTTTCGGTTGCTCTGGGACTGCTAGCTGTTTTCTTCAGTTTGATCACGTTTTCGTCACTGCTATTCTCTACGCTGCTTGACTCTCCTACTCGTCGTCTCTGTGCTTTTTTGGTCTCCTCAGTAATGCCCCACTTTTTGAGGGATTTCTGTTTTGGTTTTTTCGCTCTTATTGGGAGTCTTTTACGGTGCACATTTATAATTTATTTTATCCATATATTTTATCGGGACTGCTGTCGAAGGGCTTATTGTGTTCGGATCATGGTAATTTGCTTACACCTCCTTTTTGGCACGATGATTGGCTGTTCTTCGAATTGCAGTAAGGTTTCGGATGTTTCCGCGGATTCGATCGCCTTGCTGGCTTTCGCCGCCTTATTCGTTTCGGTTGCTCTGGGACTGCTAGCTGTTTTCTTCAGTTTGATCACGTTTTCGTCACTGCTATTCTCTACGCTGCTTGACTCTCCTACTCGTCGTCTCTATGCTTTTTTGGTCTCCTCAGTAATGCCCCACTTTTTGAGGGATTTCTGTTTTGGTTTTTTCGCTCTTATTGGGAGTCTTTTACGGTGCACATTTATAATTTATTTTATCCATATATTTTATCGGGACTGCTGTCGAAGGGCTTATTGTGTTAGGATCTTGGTAATTTGCTTACACCTCCTTTTTGGCACGATGATTGGCTGTTCTTCGAAATGCATTAAGGTTTCGGATGTTTCCGCGGATTTGATCGCCTTGCTGGCTTTCGCCGCCTTATTCGTTTCGGTTGCTCTGGGACTGCTAGCTGTTTTCTTCAGTTTGATCACGTTTTCGTCACTGCTATTCTCTACGCTGCTTGTTTCTCCTACTCGTCGTCTCTATGCTTTTTTGGTCTCCTCAGTAATGCCCCACTTTTTGAGGGATTTCTGTTTTGGTTTTTTCGCTCTTATTGGGAGTCTTTTACGGTGCACATTTATAATTTATTTTATCCATATATTTTATCGGAACTGCTGTCGAAGGGCTTATTGTGTTCGGATCTTGGTAATTTGCTTACACCTCCTTTTTGGCACGATGATTGGCTGTTCTTCGAATTGCATTAAGGTTTCGGATGTTTCCGCGGATTCGATCGCCTTGCTGGCTTTCGCCGCCTTATTCGTTTCGGTTGCTCTGGGACTGCTAGCTGTTTTCTTCAGTTTGATCACGTTTTCGTCACTGCTTTTCTCTACGCTGCTTAAATCTCCTATTCGTCGTCTCTATGGTTTTTTTGGTGTCCTCAGTAATAGCCCTTTTTTGAGAGATTTCGGTTTTGGTTTTTTCGCTCCTATTGGGAGTCTTTTACGATGCGCGGTTTCGTAGTGTTTTTGTATCCTTTACTTTAACATACGTGTGCGGATTACTAAGGAGAGAAAATGTTTACTGTCATTAACGTGTATTTTTTGTGGCCGTAACATAG